GGTTTATGCAGTAATATCCTTTAGTCAGCAGTGCCTTATGTCATTATATATATAATAAAACATTTTTAAAATATAACTTGGACTTTTCACTAACACAGACCTATCTTGGCCAGCTATTATTAATTAGTTTGAAAGGACTGAATTGATTCGCTTCTTGTCTTGCATCAAATCCAGGAAGAGATGCACCCTTCCTGAACTACCATAATTTCAACGGGCCAAGCCTTCTACATTCTTCAGCCCACTGGGTCCTCACTGAACTTCACAAAGCTGGTACTGTGATGAGCTCCATTTCACAGATGAGGAAAGTAAGGCGCAAAGAGGTAAGTAACTTGCCCCAAATCTCACAACTGGAAAAGGTAGAACAAACATTCAAGACTTGGTTGTCTGATTCTAAAGCTGGTGTGCTTAACCACTACGTAATAGAAATGCCATTCCCCTCAATTTGTGCACAAAAACCTTGTCAAATATAACTTTAATAACAATGATTTAGGCCTGCATAATACTTTGCAGCTGACACAGTGCTTCCACATCCTCCAGAGCCACCCCTTCTTGGGTGACACTGAGTACAACACTGATGTGTGTGTAAAGTGTGGCCACCTGCTGGGATATCCAGAAAATGCTACACTCCAGAATTTCCAAAGAGTACCCTGCACTGTTCCCACCTAACCCAGTGAGGCGAGTGGGGGACATCCATGGATTTAAGATAAGAATATGTTAAATGAGAAAACCCCTTTATGTATTTTTAGAAGGACTTCTACAGTCATTAGCTGATTGAAAACCACCCCGTGTGGGAGACGGCAAGCCAGGATATCTCTGACATCCTGAAGGACAAAGAGACTAAGGCTCAGGGTAACTCAGTGAAGTCCCAGAGTGAACGTGGGACCCTGGCAGGACAGAATCTAAGTCTTCCAGCCCCCTTCCTGGGGGCTGGAGCCACATCTTGGGAGCCTAGGGCATCCCCCATCTTGCAAGCTCAGACACCCCCACCATAGGTGGATGGCTGGTGGCAGGTGGGTCCTAAAATGGAGAAGGAGGCAGAGTCAACCAGCTTACCGCCCATGACCCTGGGAACCTAGCATGATTCTAAAGATGAAAACCTCAAAAGGGGGTTCAATGAACAATTTGAAAAGTGAAAAATTGCCAGGCTTCTAGAAGGCCACGTGTAATATGTCTGAATTGCAGACTTAAAGAAGACATTCTTTCCGATTCTTGGTCATAATGGGAGCATATCCTCAATGACAACTTAAGGTTAAATTGCAACATTAGTCATAGACATTCTCAGCCCCTCCCACAGAATACTGTGACGAGAGATGGAAGTATTCATCTATGTTCATGCATGGCTGCATAGGGTTTACAGTTCATAAACTTCATACTTACCTTGAGGGAAAAAAGACTATGTTACAAAACCAAAGATTTTCCCAAATCATCAACACTTTGCAAATAAACACCAAATCCAATGTGCAAATTAACGTCTGTTCAAGAATACAATAGGATGGCATGGCCACACACATGAAGGAGCCAAGGAGCAGAAACAGATACAGGTATTTCCACATGGCTGACAGACTTGAAGACACACAGCACCATCTAACATTTCCTCATGAGAAGGCAATCACATGGTCTCGACCAGCCTTTTTAAAATGAGGGCGTTTTAATTCAGTGCTTAGGGGATTACATTTGTGTTGGTCTGACAGTCCCCCGAGGTCTATGCAACATAAATTGTCTTCCTCTCAACATTTATATCCTTCTGGTTTGGCAGTACCTCTCTAGTGCTCCCTTAAAAAATTATGAAGACTCTTGAGGCTAACATTTAAAAAATAATAATAATTTCCTTTAACAACAACAAAAATATCAATGGGAAAGTAAGAGGGGAGTAGCAGGCAGAGAGGGAAGGCGGTTGCTGGGGGGGGGGAGGTGGAGGCATGCCAGCCCCTCGTCAGTCTCCAGGGGAGATGCCTCCTCATCTCTCCAGGGCAGCTCACAGAGCCTCTGGGTCTGCACCTCTATTGAACATGTGCCCTCCTGCACTGCTTCAAAATAGGCTACCCCATGAGATAATGAATGCCTACGCACAAGGCCGCTGTCTGTGTCTGAGATATCTTGGCACCCCTGGCCTCTGGACCAGAGCCGGGCACTCTACAGGATCTCAGGAAATACTGGCCAAATCAGGAACACAGCTGCGAGGCTGTGCTTTGCAGACATGGTTCTGTCTTTACCCAAACCAGCCCTAGCAGAGGCCTTCTGGGGGAGTAGACAGGAGGTCGTGGGCAGCCCCTGGGGGTCTGAGCACAACACACACTGACAGTTAGAATTGCTGGGAAGTCTCGGGTTTTTCTTTTATAATTTCATGTGTCATTTCCAGTCTCCTTCATAAGGGATCTAAGTTTTGTTTTGATGAAAAAATATTTTTTTAAAAAAATTATTTTCCCCCAAAATATATTTGAGTAAACCGGTTGTTCCATGAAGGAGTGTACCTTTTTTATCCTCCAGCTTTGGGTACCTCCCACGGAGGTGCAGGTTTAACCCCCATTTGTGATAGTGGGAAGCCCCGCCTCCCATCTTTTTCTCTTTTCTTTTTTTAAGCACCTCACGATCTGGCTCCTGCCTCTGCTTCATCATGCCTGCTGGGGCAATGGTTCCTGCCTGGGGAAGCTAAAAGATAAGGCATGTCACCGGCACTGTTCAAATTAGTGGTTTCCATGGCCTCCGTCAGTTTAGCTGGGTTTAGGAGACATGAGGCGCCAAGGAATTCACACAAGGATTGCTGCTGACCTTGTACAGGAAGCTCCTGTGGCAAAATCAAACACGATGTTATTTCTCCAGGAATAGACACCACCCTCACATGTCCAACCCTAGCCTAAGGCCGCTGAGGTTTACTAGGAGAAAGACACTTCTCACGTTGAGGTGAAAGGGCCTGAGGCTTGAGGAGCCACTCATCTACAGGAGGTGGCTCAGGCAGGGGAGGGTTATGTGGCCCCCGCCACCACCTCTCTCTCTGGGGGGCAGTGGCCCCTGGGGCCATCTCTACATAGGGACTTCCTGTGACAGTGTGCATCCCTGGTGTGGAACTGACTACATTCAATCCAGGGCACGGAAGATGCAGAAAGGAAGCCAAGATGGATAGAATGCACTCGGCTTTCTGCTCTGGAAAAGGCAGTGTTTCCAAAAATGCGATTAAAGCCTTTTCACTAACTCAGCATACATGAAGACATCATTTCCCCGAGATACAGCCTCGGAAAGAGCAAGATAAAGTGAGTGAGGAAGAGATAAACTCGCCTGGAATCAAATCCATCAACACTGCTTCCTGAGGGTGCCTGGGCACAGCGCAGTGACAGAGGCTCCTCTGGGAGACATGGGCCCCTCTTGGGCCTCCTGGTATCCTGCCTGCCCCCCACATCCTGGCAATGGCTATATAAAGGAGCTGACTGTGAGAGAGCCAGACAGCCCCCGGCTCCCTTCTCTGTAGCACCCCACCTTCTGGGGGTGTCTGAGAGGCGGTATGGATGCAGGGCTGACCACAAGGGTTCTGGGATGGCATCTCCAGCTACAGGCAAGGCACAGCCTGCAACATAAGGAGTCCCCTTTCCAGGCCAGTCTCTGCTACAGCCTCTTTGTGAAGAGTCAATCCATAGAGAGGAAGTGATAAACACGTAAACTTCAAAAACGGTGACTGAATGATGCGGTCTCTGTAAGGCCATGGGAAACGTGTGCACAAAAGTCGATCATTACTCTGCATTGAGAGAAGGATTCTATAGGTTATGGTTAAAACTGAATCACAGGGACAGTTCTCACAGTGACAGCACTAGAAAACCAAGCTAATAATCCCAATCTGAGGAAGACTTTGAAACTGTACAGTATTTATGTGCTTGAGGCTTATTTCTCCTTCACAGTAAAATCTAAAACTCCCCTGGAAGTATTTATAATGCACTGTGGTGACCTAAAGGGGCCAGGTTATGTACTAATAGACACAAAATTACAAGGGACGAAAGCCTCTTTCCTGGGGAGACCAAGGCTGGAATTCCTTTAACTCACTTGTAATCGACCTCTACACATTCACATACTAACACGACTGGCTTCGGGGGAACGTTTTCATTAAATTAACAGTGTTTGGCAAGCATCGGAAACACAGAATCTCACAGACAGAAACAGGGAGAAAGAATCACAGTTCAATCCAAAAGCAACACACTGAGGGGCCATCAGAGTCCAAACACATGCAGAGAAGCTGTCAGGGAGCAGCTGGGAGACACGCAGAGTTGCCTCACACGTGGCAGCAGGAGAAGGTGAAACACGGATCCAACTGCTTACCCACTAAGGACACCAAGAACCAGGTTAAGGACGAAAAATGAGCCAAGGATGATGAGACTAACAAAATACACCCATGGCCATTCCCATCCTATCGCATCATTTACCTGTAAAATGTAAGGAGATCAGTTATCAGTTACCCATTTGCTAAAGAGCAGAGCCCCAGTTGCAGCTGCCAGACCTCTCAGTGCTTTGCTGAAGGTTAGTGCTCCTAGGACAGGGACTGGGCCTAGGCCCTTCCTTTTTTTTTTTCTTTTTTTTTTTTCCTGCAAATAAGGACAAGCTCAGCTGCTGAAATCTACAAATGGGGCCTACCAAAAGCCCACCCGATCCAGCTCATTTTGCAACCATTTTATAACAATTAATCTGCATTCTATTTGGATCCAGACAAATAAAGCAATTATAAATGTATCTCATTTTAGAACAGACAAAAAAGGGCAAGCAATGGAAATTGTTTAAATCTCAAGCAACAATGCTGATTAATTTCTGGTCAATAATCGTTCTATAGTTCTCCTTCATGAAGCCTGGTGAGGTTCCAGGAAACAGCTTGATTTGGGAAGCCTCAGCAGAAAAGAAAGCATCTCAGAGGACACATAAAATGTCTGGCAACCCCTCTTGGCGGCCCTCATCCAGCAAAGCCTGTGTGGTCTTGGCAACTGTCCTCAGGACTCTGCTTTCAAGATGAAAGAGGTGTAGCTTACCCGCTCAATACACCAAGTACAAGATTTAGTACGAAAAATGACCCAAAGATGACGAGACTGACAAAATACACCCAGGGCAATTCAAATCCCATAGCATCATTCATCTGCAAGAAATAAGATGGTCTCATAGGAGTGGGTTAGTAAGAGAATTCAGTAAGGAGAGAGGGTCACATTAGAGATAGCATTCTATACATTTAATTAAACTTTACTTAGATTTAAATCAGAAACAACAGTAACCAAATCAGAGACAACAGCAGCCAACACACATTCATCACATATTCCCAATACACACACACACATACAGACAGACAGACACACACACACACACACACACACACACATACACACAGAGTTATCAAGGCTTTCAAGCCGAATAATAGCAGATTTTGGCCCCAGGAAGGAAAATCAGCTGGGATTTGGCTTTTTCTTACAGGAAACTGTCTTGATACGTGATTTTCAGGAAAGGTCTTGGTAGAGGACAAAACTAGTGCTTAGCTAGAACCTATTTTCTATACTGCCCAAGATTTTAGACTTTGTGTTTAAAATTTGTGATGGTGGAAAAGTCTTAATTATAGAGACAAACTTGCACCATTTGACTCTATAAACTCTTTTTAAAAACTCCTAAAATAACCTTCTACTGGAAGCCAACCTACCCAAGGAAACCAAACCCACTTTACATCTGGATTATCTGCAACCTGTGAGTGCAAACAAAATGAATGCAGCAAAACGAATGCAAAAAAGAATTTTTTCAAGGTCAACTAGCTGACATATAGTCAGGAGCTCTTTGCAGAATGGGCTTTTTCTTTTTTTTGAGACGGAGTCTCACTCTGTCGCCCAGGCTGGAGTGCAGTGGCCGGATCTCAGCTCACTTCAAGCTCCGCCTCCCGGGTTCATGCCATTCTCCTGCCTCAGCCTTCCGAGTAGCTGGGACTACAGGCGCCCGCCACCTCGCCCGGCTAGTTTTTTGTATTTTTTAGTAGAGACGGGGTTTCACCGTGTTAGCCAGGATGGTCTTGATCTCCTGACCTCGTGATCCGCCCGTCTCGGCCTCCCAAAGTGCTGGGATTACAGGCTTGAGCCACCGCGCCCGGCCCGAATGGGCTTTTTCTTAGCTGAACCCACAGAAAGGAGAAGCAGCCCTTATTCTCCACACGTAGCTTTGATCTAGATGACCCCCTTGGGAGACTGGCTCCAGCTGTGAGCTGACTGGGTTTCGAGGTGAAAGGGTGTGGCCTGAGGAACCCATTCCCCTACTCCTGGACAAGCTCATGCTGCACACTCAGACACAGTCTTCCTGGCAGATCCCGCCAAGAGAAGCCAGAACAAACAGGTGCTTTAAGGATCACAGCTGGATGGAACTTTCCACCAGCACAGGTCAGTGTTAAATTCAGCAAACACCTTTCCCAGGAAGGAGGTGTTAAGGACCAGTCAGGGGACAGAATGGATGACCCAAGGTATGACCCTGCCATAACACCCAGAATTTCCAGCCAATAGGAATTGCGAACAGTCTGGATAGAGCCATCTCTCTTGCCTTGCAGGTGCAAGCCCTCAGGGTGTTAAGCCTGTGCTTTTTTGCACATGATCTGGCTCCAGGTTTTAGCTTTATAGAATGAGGCTCGTGCACTTCACAATGTTTGCCTCATGCAGAAGCCAAATAGGGAAAGTGAACATTAAAAAAAATTACCTAACATCTGTTGCTGAAGTCTAGGGAGAGGGCATTAAATCCCTTATGAAACACCTGTTTGGCCACATGAAAACTGATGTGCTTAACAGAACTCATATCAGTCTGCACATCTTACATTGGCAATTAGAGTAATGAACGAGCCTGGGCCGTGGCTGCAATTGTTGATCTAATTAAGTTGGATAAACTAATTTCAACAGGAAGGCAGAGGGTAATTCATCCAGAGCAACTATACCACTAAACTTACTGAAAACCCCATAGATGAAGAAGACACTGGCGGCCTGGTGTGGTGGCCTGTGCCTGGCCTGGGTCAGCACCTGAGACAGAGCCCCATCTGGGCTTGTTTCCCTCTGGGTTGGAACAGAGGTGCATGCAGCAGGGGAGAAGGTGCCCATCAAGGTGACAGGAGGGCGGACAGGTCCAGGGCTCCCATCAGGAAACCTCACTCTTCCGTGACCCCAGCAACCGTCATCTGCTTAGCCATCTGCTTCACCAACCCTCCTTCAGGCATCAGTCTGCTGTTCCAGAGAATGGCTCTAGTAACGGCTGTCTTCTCCACTTAGGAGGGACAATTTTCCTTTAAAAAATTTAAAACCCTTTAATTTCTTGGGAGTAGGTGTTCATCAGATTCACATTTGCTCAAATCAGAAGTATCGCTTGGAATGACAGTTGAGGCCTGGAGGGAAAGGCTGGAGTTGAACACAGTCCACTGGAGATTCCAAATCTCGAAGTCAGAAGGTGGGGCAAAAGAGACAAGCTTCAGCTCTGAGAGCCAGTCTTGCTCCCAGTGAACCCTTCTCAATCCAAGTCCCTTTTCAGAGCCAAGCATTTCTTAGATCTTAACATATACAAAAGAAAAATCAGAACATGCACGCTGTTCCCAAAAATACCCACATAAAGACTGCTTGGGATTTTGCCTATATGGTCTTTATCAACAATGAAGAAACTGGCTTCCACTGAAGGACTTCAATTTAGATAAATTTTTTAAAATCTTGTATCAAAGTCATCAAGGGGTGTCATCTGGTGCCCAGGAGTTTTCTTTTTAGCTTCAGTTTTCCTTCTTTTAGAAGGCTGAAATGGGCCAGGTGCAGTGGCTCATGCCTGTAATCCCAACACTTTGGGAGGCCAAGGCAGGCGGATCACCTGAGGTTGGGAGTTCAAGACCAGTCTGGCCAACATGGTGAAACCCGTCTCTATTAAAAATACAAAAATTAGCTGGACGTGGTAGCAAGTACCTGTAATCCCAGCTACTTGGGAGCTGGAACCCCAGAGGCAGGGGTTGTAGTGAGCTGAGATCATGCCATTGCACTCCAGCCTGGGCGACAGAGCAAAACTCCATCTCAAAAAAATTAAACAAAATAAAAATAAAAGGCTGAAATGCATATTCATGTCTCAAGTTATAGACCAATGCAAGGCTGTTTTTCTAGCTGCTGAAAACACTTCTGGAAAGTTGGTATACTGGTTTTAACTCCCCAGAGCATGCAATAAGAAAAAGGCAAGCCCTCGGCTGGTTATTGAGAAACTTCCTAGGTGCCCTGGATGAAGGAGATTGTCAGCTTGACCATGAGTACTTCTTGTGAAGGTCTGATAGCCAGCACCTCTGTAGGAGTGTGCACTGAGAAAAGAGCTCAGTGCTAAAGCAAGACACCAGAAATTATCTGGATAGCTGTCTCCTGAAACCAATACTTTTTATTTCCCACATTTAAAAACAACTTCTTTCAATTGAAGGGAAAAAAATTTCCTCCAAGTTGAAGAGAAAAATCAAATCATGTAAGTTTAATTCTGCATCTTGAGAAGCCCAGAGAGGTTCCATGACCTACTCCAGGTCACACAACCAGCCTAAACAAGCACTCTTCCCCTGCCCTACACCCTGCTGCCTCTGTGAGCAACAAACACTTACATGTGGGTCAAACAACAGCTCAGTTATATTTATGGAACTCACTTTATCAAAGAACTCTACCATAGGTTTCTTTCCGCCAGAACTTAATGATCCCACTTCCCACACATCCAAATAGTCCTGTTCTAAGTGTGCCTTTCTACATATTGGACCCACCCGTAATTCCCTTCTCAAGACCCTGCCAGACATTTTCCAGACGCTAGGGAGAAGCAAGGCATAAATGAGCTTGAGAAAGCTGACTGAATATAAACTTGACTCGATGCAAAACAATGCCCTGCAAAGACTTTGTCCACCATATGTAAACACCTAAAGGATTCAGAAATGTGCTTGTAGTCAATATTTAAAATCTAATCTCTTTTTATCTCCCAAGATGTTCCCTTTATGCCCTAGTTGTGGATAAAAATAGATATTCAAACATGGCACATCTACACTAATGAGGCAATATGCCTGGTACACTTGAAGGATGATGCCCATCACTTGTGTTTATTGAGTGCCTGCTCGGTGCCAGGCACCGTGCTGGGCAGGGATGTCCTGCTACGTATCACAGTGGTGTGGCTTCCAGCTGACTGTGGCCCATGAAATATTAGGAAGGCTTGGTTCCTTGGCCCCTGCCTGTCTCTATGATGAGCTAATAAATACAATCAACAGGTAATTAAAAACAATCCTGATGTGTTTCAGAGAGTAAGATCTTAGAGAACAGTCGGGAAGACATTACTTAGCTGCCCCCTAGTGTTCTGGAAGCATTCATAAACTGCTGACAGGTGGAAGAATGCCAAGGAAAGAGTGCTGGGTTCTAGTCTAGGCCAGTGGGTTCCCATAGCATGACCCGCAGGCCAAATCCAGCTTGCTGTCTGCTTTTATATGGCCTCAAGCTAAAAGTGATTTTTACAGTTTGAAATGGTTGGTGGAGGAAAAAATCAAAAACAAAATATTTCATGACACAGAGAAGTCACACAAAATTCAATTTCAGGGTCCATAAATGAAGTCTGATTAGAATAAAGCCACATCCATTTGCTGATGTATTGCCCATGGCTGCTTCCTAGCTATAGTGGCAGGGCTGAATAGTTGCCAAGGTGACCATGGAGCCTGCAAGACCAAATACATTTTCTATGTGGCCCCTTATAAAAAGATTTGCAGACCTCTGTTCTAGATCAAGGACCACAACCATTTGCTGTAGAACCCAGGGAATGTTCCATGGTCTCTACTCCACTGTCTCCATCTTCAAGATCCCAGATCTTCTATAAAGGGATATAGACTGGGATAAAGTTTATAAACGACTTGAGATCCTCCACCAGAATAAAAATGCTGTGTAATTCATGGAGAATGCAATTATACTGTCAAATTATTAACCATGTGATTGTCATATTAATAATAAAAATAATAATTATATCATCCTAGATGATATTTAAACCTTCTCAGGAAAGCAAGTGGAAACTTTTGTTTCCAGGAGCCTGAAGTTCCCTCTCCTTTAATCATCTACTCCCAGGTTTTACACTTGCTTGGCAACAGGAAAATTGTGAGAATCGATGTGCGGGAATATAACATAAAGTATAAAATTGTTCATTAGTCAAGGTATGTTGGATCCACAGTTGACAATTCACCATGTCAATGGAGAGAAAAACAAAGCTGAGACGAGTCACAGATTTTGATTTTTTAAAAATCAAAATGTTGTATTCTGTACTGTCTGGGGAGGGGAAATAGCAGAGTTTGGGCTATTGTGATGATGCTTTTTCTATTTATGAGAAACTTCAAGGGAAGACTGGAATTGAGATCTCAACTAATCCGACCAGAAGTTGCAATTTAGGAAATAATAGCAAAAATGAATGCTTCACCTAACCTGAGGGCCCTCTTGCATACGGGAGCCATGCCCCTGGCTCAGCCAATACCATCCCCCTCCTCCTTCCTCTTCATGAAAAGACATTGTTTTACGAATATAAATAACAGATGTGCATACCCCCCTCCCCCACATACACACACACACAGACACACACACACACACACACACTCTCTCTCTCTCTCTCTCTCTCTCACTCCTATGACAATCAGAAAAAGAAAGGGAAGTAGGAAAAACAAGATATAACGTGTTGGTGATGCTTAAACCTCATCAAACTAGACTCACTTCGGGGACTAAAGGTAAAAATATACCTTCTTTGCCTAATATTAAATATATGGGGACATCTACAATCCTGTGAGCTGGCGAAGGGAAGCAAAAACCTATTTATAACCATTATCTGTTACAGTCTCTGAAGCTATGGAGGAACAGCAAATCCTAAAAAGTATCTAAAATTTAGAAACTATCAGAAGCTACTTCTCAATTTACAGGCCTTCTGTCTAAAAGCTGCTGACTTCAGAAGTACTTTATTACTAATTTCCTTTTAACAACTCATGATTGGAATCCTGGTTACTCCCCTTTGGACTTGGATTTAGGCTCAAAATCTACATGTTAGCTGTCTTTACCAGCAACTCTTATACCATGGAAAACAATTTCTAAACTTCTGTGAGCTTTATTTACATTCTAACAAACAAACTCAGCCCTGGGAAATGGCTGTTAAAATACTATAGCACTTATTTTTATGTAGCAAATCTTTCTGGCTCTATCGGGAACAAGAGGAATCAGACCCCCGCCTTGAAAGAGCGTCCAGCTGTTTTCATGGCAGGCTGGATGGGTCCACCAGCCCTGGAAGTCTACATGCCATTCCTACCCTTTCTGCCAGAGCTCTGTAGCTTCAAATAGAAAAGAAGATAGCTAAGGGTTTGTGCTGGCCCAATTTATGGTAATACTAAAGACAAGAACAGGAAATATTATCACGGGAGACACTCACATTGGGTTTAAGGTTATACTGAGTTACGGAAAGCACTAAAGGGATCCGATTTACATTCCCTTTCTTCCCTTTAGGATCTAGTAGAACAACCTGCCTTGATGTATAAACGATTAACTTTAGCCTGTGGCAGTCCAGGAGCCTCGTTACCTGGAAAGTGACCCTTTGGCTCTCTTAAGAGTTGAATCAGGATAGCCTGGCTTCCTGGAGTTCCTCCAAAGGGGACCACTGGGCACCCTTGGCACCAGGTCTTCAGGCAGCACTGGGGAGTGGAAGACTAAAGCCAGAAGCCAACATCGTGCAGCAGCTTCCTGCAACTGAAACTAAGGCCCTCGAGGAGCAGGATGATGAAGGCTGCTGGTAAAGACAGCGTCTGCTTCCCTTCCCAGATAACTGACTTCAGGGTTTCTCTTCCAGCCACCTCTCCAGTGGCTCTAGCTCATAAAACTCACTTATCCAAGGAAAGAACCCTCCACAAACTCTCTCCCCAGGGTACTTACCCAGTAGAGCACATCTGTCCAGCCCTCCATGGTGATGCACTGAAACACAGTGAGCATAGCAAAGGCAAAGTTATCAAAGTTGGTGATGCCTCCGTTTGGGCCGACCCAGCCACTCCTACATTCCGTGCCATTGGCGGTACACTGGCGTCCGTTCCCTGAGAACGCACATGGAGCTGGGTCCTCTTCAGCTACGATATCTGCAAACACAGCAAACAGGCTGCACCACTCAGGACAGAAACATCAGGAAATCCAAGCCAGGGAAGGTGAGCATCCTCGCCAGAGCCTAGGACACCCTACCGCCCCCTCTGCGAAGCCTCAGGATTCTGCTCGTCCTTCAAGGTTCCCTTCAGATGCTCCCTCCTTAGTGGAATCTGCCATTTCCTCTTGTCAGAATCCATGGCTCTTTTCCTCTGCACCTGCGCTTACAGCACCCTCCTTAGGCTTAGACAGCACAATGCTGTTGGTTTGCCTCATGTTTTTACTTTGGAGGTCTCTCATCTTGTTTGCCAGGACACATTACACAAGAAATCGGGGTGGAAAGGGAGACTGAATTCTCATCTATTCTGAAAACAGCTCATACTGAGAACTGGCTCAGTAAACGTGCTGGTATATTGGGCATTTTTTTTTTCTATTTTGTTTTAGATTTTCCCCAAACTATGAAAGTTGCTTTGGGGAAAACCAAAAATTTTTAAAATTAAGTTAGCTATAATTCCCATTACTCACCTGAGTCAGCAAAAAAACATGTTTTGTGCATTTTTCCAATAAAAAGTTCCAATCCTATAATAGCATAGATTATGATTACAAATAATACCAAAAGAGCTATGTGAAGGAGGGGAACCATGGCTTTTATAATGGAGTTCAGGACAACTTGTAAACCTAGGAAAGACAAAAAAAAAAAAAATAAGTTTGTGAGCCAGGAAGGTACTCCAATGACTCATATATATAATTCCTACTCATGCCTCCTTTATTTAGAACACATAGTAATACAATTCAAAGAGATATTTCAAAGCTTTTCATTAATATTAAGCCTGGATATGAGACAAACTGAAAAGGAACCTTCAAGATCATCTAGTCCAACTCCCTCACTAGACAGAGGGAAAAACTAAGGCCTAGGGAGGGGACTGCCCACTGTCGAAGTTCATCATTCATTTATGCATTTCTTCATCCATCTGACAAAATCTCTTAAACATCTACCATGTGGAAATCATAACGTTTGGTGCTTTGGAGCAATATGAAGATGGTTTATGTAAAATGTCTTCCTCAAAAAATTATATTCTAGGAGACACAGAATTAAACACAAATAACTCTACCCTGGGGTAGCACACAGATGCTATATGAATATCCAACAGTTAAAATTAATAGGTGTTGGGAGCTGAGAAGGCCAAAGGGATTGTGACCAACTCAGCATTCCACTGGAGGCTATAGGATCAAACAGCAAACTGTTTATCATGAATGCCACCATGAATGCAGGATGCAGGCAAACTCACAACTGCACCTACAACCAGGTTTGCTGAGGGCAATCACTCCCTGGTGCTCTGCTCATTGAGGTTATCTATTGGGATATCTAGAGCCTATTGTCAGAAGAATGCAGTCTTGTAAGCCTGCTGTAAATCAAGCAGCTTACCGACAACCACTCCCCGCTCTCGCTATCTCCTTTACCCAATAAAATGCGAAAGGCTCTAAAGCTCAGGGCTCTTGTTAACTAGAAGCAAGGAGCCCCGTGACCCTTTCTTCCAAATATATGCTTTTGTCTTTGTCTTTATCTTTATTCCCACGTTCATCATCCTTTGTTCAGATCCCCAAGGTCCATGCAGGTAACAAATAGGGATGAACAAAGTGAAGAAAGGGCCCTGAGGCAGCTTCCCTCTGGGCACAGCCCAAAGGCCAGGTGGGGTGGATTTCCACAGGTGGGCATGGGAGAGAGGCGACTTCAGGGAAGAAGAACAGAGTACCAAAAGCACAGAGGAGAGTAGCACAGCATGGGCTTGATTGGTGGTTATATAGTGGAAAAGAAAATCAGGAAAGAGAAGTAGATTGCAGCCAGGGTTGTGGGTTTTGAATCCGGGTTATGGAGCCAGACTAGACCACTGGCAAAAGGCAGCGGCTTTAGAAAGACCAACAGGACAGCGGCAGGCCAGACACACAGAGAGGCAGTTCAAGAGTGCTGGAGTAGCAAGGGTGAAGATCAGGATGAGACCAGAACTCAGCAACTGAGTCAGAATGAGAGGAAGGTACCTATGGAGCACACCAGTTATTTGAGCCAGGGTCTTGAGGCAAAATCCCAGTGCCCCCAACAAAACTACGCATTTCAAAGGGAGATTCTCCAGGAATAAGGGAGGTGGGAGGGGCAGGGGGAGGGTTGAGAGTGATTTGAGCCTTGTTAAGTTTGATGTTGGTATTACATAACATTAAGGTAGACGTGTCCTGAAGCTGAAATGTGGTCTTGAGAGACAGGCACTTGAGAAATGACGATTTCTGGCCTTGTGAGGTGGCTCACGCCTGCAATCCCAGCAATTTGGGAGGCCAAGGTGGGTGGATCACTTGAGGTCAGGAGTTCGAGACAAGCCTGGCCAACGTGATGAAACCCCATCTCTACCAAAAATACAAAAATTAGTTGGGTGTGGTGGTGTGCGCCTGTAATCCCAGCTACTCTGGAGGTTGAGGTCAGAGAATCACTTGAACCTGGGAGGCGGAGGTTGCAACTCCAGTCTGGGGGACAGAGCAAGACTTCGTCTCCAAAAAAAAAAAAAAAAAGGGAAAAAAAAAAAAGGGAGAGAGAGAGGAAAAAAAAACCGATTATTTCCTACATTTAAAACTTTTGCTGCCATGGAGGTCTTAGCAAGGCAGGGTCTTGCTGAGTCTGAAATCCTCAGACTCAGAGACATTACTTTCAATGGCAAAAACCACAATTACTTTCACACCAACCTAATACAAGCTACCCATGGAGTTATACTCAGTGCCACAGTGTGGGTAAGGCTACCCATCAAGCGAGAGAAAAAGAGGTCATGAAAAGAAGGATGGGGGCAGCACTCAGGATTAGGATTGGGTCTGCAGGACCAAGAGAATGAGGGAGAATGGGCAGCAACCCAGAACCTGCCCTGGAGACCAGGCCTCCTGACCCTGCATTGGTGTCCCCCATCTTCTCCATGGCCCCGTGACCTCAGCACGACTGTGCTGCTCCCTCTTTTCCTTCTTACCTTCTCCTTCCCTGTCCTTCCCTGTTGTCTCTCTACCTTCAAACGTTCCCTCTTCTGCTATCACCTCACTTTCCCAATACATATTCAGGAAAAAAAGAATGCAAGAAGCTGAGATGCTTACATCAGAAACCAGAATACAGCAAGCAAAGAGAAGACTTAGCAATAATGACAAACCTTTACCGTGATAAGCAGCACAGGAGGAGGCAGAGGACAGGATGGTGAGGGAAAAGCAGTAAGAGGATTTCAGACTCAGCACGACCCTGACTTGCTACAACCTCTATTACAACTAAAACCCTGGGTGCTACACCTTTGGATATGTAAATGTCCACATGGTTTTTTCAAAAATGATCAATTAGGATGATTTTCAATATGTTTTTCCTCCTACAGAGAACACATGGAAGGGAAAAGACAACACCCGTTCCAATGCCCATGGCCAGGTTTCTATTGTTGTTTTGGTTTTCTTGAGACACCAGTGGGCCATGCAAAATCAACCCCCAGCCGTCAGCTCTTCTAAATTCCATGGCAGTAAGCTTTGCGAATATTTTTTACATTTAGAGTAACTACTGTATTTCAGATTGGTCACATTTTAGGAGATGATAAAGTTGTATCCGACTGTGAACATGTATACTTTATTGCATTCAGCTCCTTTGTACATACTCAACATGTATGGTAGATCTCAGTGGATCTCAAGGGACTCTAGTGAAGGAGGCAGGAGTGGGAAGAACACCGGGTCAGGAATGTGGAGATCGTGAGTCTGGTTCTGTCTGGCTACTCACTAGCTGTGAGAACTTACACAAGTCACGACCTCCAACAGACCTCAGTTTCCTGTCTAAAAGATGCAGGTAGACCAGATGATCTTTAGGAGTCTTTTCCACTTTGATAGTCTTGAACTTTGATAAATGTTTCCCTGTCCAACAAAGAAGGACAGGGAAAGAGAAGGGAAGAAGTTAAACAGCGAGCAGCACCGTAGTGCTGAGGTTGCCGTGGAGAGAATGGGGGACGTCAACACAGGGGTCAGGAGGTCTGGTCTCCAGGGCAGGCTCTGGGTTCCCGCCCATTCTCCCTCAGTCTCTTAATGTGGGTGGTTAAGAACTCCACAAATGCCTGATTCACCACCTTGTGAAATAAATTTATGTTTCACTGAATGAATATATATTTCCATACACACATGCACACAAAATTATGTCTTACAGAACAGTCTGGATTTTCTTTCGCAGGGACTAAACAATTCCAAGATAAGTGTAAACAGTCAAACATTCCTAGACATTTTTAACAACTTCGGGTACTAGAGAAGTAATCAGCAGGCCACGGCTGCCAACCAGCATTAGAAACAGCACATCCGACAACCTCTGATCCCTTCCTTCAAAAGCCTGTTTGAGTTTGATGAGAGACTGGGATGTTCCCTACCTAGATGGTTAAAAATATAAGCTCAAAAGTCCTCATACAAGACTCAGACTCACACTTTTCCCCGCTGACCTGCAGGAGAGTTAAATACAAATCTCGCGATGTCTGTTGGTGAAAGGAAGAAATACAGTTTAAAACGAATTCTCAAGAATATCTAGGAGCACTGCACTAGTTGATTAGTAAATATCTCATTAGCCAAGGAAGCAAACACAACGCTATGTGAGTTCTTGGATTTTTCACTGGCTAGAGGCTCGCACGCACACACGCGCACAGCCGCAGCCCGTAAAGTCTGCATGCAACACGTACCATAGACAGGCTGTCCTGTTATTTGCTCTTTGGGGGAAAAAGCTGTCGTGGTTACTTTGAAATTAGATTAAGCTATGACAACTAAATCTGGAAGAACATGTTTGCTCACTGAACTTCTCATTTAATCGTGTTACACTTAACAGAGCCAGTCATTTCCAAGGTATTTCTGTTTTTCTCAATTGATTCCACACAGTTCTGTGGTTTTGACTTGTGCTGATCTTTTTCAATGAAAATAAATGAACCATCTGGAAAAACAAGTACACATAAAACACTACTTCCTACATTTTAAAATGTTAAATTTGGAAATTTTTTTTTCCAGAGGATTTTTGGTGCATTTTAAGTGCCAACAAATTTAATAAAAACTTCATGAAGAACTTCTGGAGAGGCAAAAAATGTGATCTGTGTTCTTCTGATGGCTTTATGAGTTGTGAAAAACAGGCACACCCTGCAATCCCGTATTCCTGCTCAGAGGCACCAGCCCTCAGAAAGGTGTTAGGACTTCTACCCATGGAAGTGCCCAACACAGGAGTCCTGTCAGGGGCAGAGCCCAGTGAGGCAACCCCAAACGCCTTATGGAAGGATAAGAGGCTGCAGCCGTTGGCCAGGGCACAGACAGGGCATCTGTTCCAACTCAGGTATGATTTAACCTGGCCTGGAGGCCTGGAGCCAGAAGCCCAGTGGGGCCTGGCACTGAGCGGTATGGTAGGGCCTAGTGGCTAAAACTCTCTCTCTCACTCACTGAGAGCCTCTGTGCTCCAGACATCCGTTAGGGGCTCTCCCTCCATTATCTCATTCTGTTCTCACAACAGCCTTCAAGGCACGTGCTCCTGTGCCCTGTACCCAGCTGAAGCGTTCATCCTTTCCCCCAGAGCTGGTTAGCACCGTCCTGAGAGTAGAGGAGCCAATCACAGTTTCCAGGAGTCCATCCCTCTGGTGCTCCCCACTTGGGGAAAAAAAAAAAAAAAGGCAGGCAGCTGAGTCCTCCAACACCCTCATCCACAAACACACTACTTTCAGAGGGGCAAGCCTGGGAGTGGAGGAGTGGATGGCAGCATGTCGCCAGAGAGGAAAAATAGACCGGAATTAAAGGCCTGAACCCAAGGTCTCACCTCAATGCCTTGTCTTTCTGCAAGAGAACATTCTCTCGTCCACAAAATCAGAATGACAATAACTGCCACCTGTCCCCCTCTCGGGGCTGTCAGAGGGATCCAACGTGACAGTGCAAGCCAGAGTGTCCTGTCAACTGTGAAGGAGGCCACAGTCGTCCGCTGACCCCTGGCTGGCACAGAGCAACTCACCTCGAAGCACCAGTCAATGATTCTGAGACCCACCTGGAAGGAAAAACCAGCACACTCCTGACTCTAGGAAACAATAAGTGCTTACTGGGCACTCCTGACACTAGTCGAAGTGGTCGCAACACTCGAAAGGCACGGAGGGCTTTGACATCAAAGCCTCCAGACTTGCCGCTAGAGTGGTTCCCGCCTTCTGTTTCTTTGGTTAATTGTTCCAAAATTACACTAAACAATCTGAAAGAAGAGAAAGAGAAAGAAACGTTAGAGTCTGTCACCCCAGGGAAGCGAAACAGGATGATAACCGTGTTATTTCTGAACAAGGGCTAATTCTGCATGGCTGCTGCTTAAATCAAAGGAAGACAAAGACGAGAACTGGGCTGTGGAATTGGAATACAGATGACTCCAACTCCAGAATGACTGGGACAGGGATTAACCTCATCTGGTTTTATCGCAATGGAGCAGCAGAGAGCAAGTCTGTTCCCAAAGAAGAGGGGACTCCCTGGGAACCCAATGATGACAAGTGGAACTGCTGCAAACTGCAATGACCACAGTCGTGTTGGTGGCTACCATTCATGAGCACTGCACATACATTGTCGCATTAATTCTCACAAAATGTTACGCAGTAGGAATTAAGAACACCATGTTACACATGAGAAAACAAACTCAATAGGAATAAGTAGCTTGTCCAAGGTCACACAACCAGCAGCAACACATGTAAAGGCAGGCCTGTGGACCCCTCTAGAACGTAGGTTCTGTAACAGCAAGGAGTTTTGGTCTGCTCTGCTCATTTGTGTATGTGGTCTATTCTAGTCTAGAGCCTATTACAGTATCTGACACATAGGAAGTACTCCAAAAATATCTGATGAATCAATCAATGCATGACTTCAAAGTCTCACATCTTAATATGTCATACGTAGTCAATGTAGTCACTAACACACACACCCCAACCTTCACCTTCATAGGGATATTTGGAGGATGTAAATCACAGATACTAAGGAGCTGTGCAAAGGCTAAAGGCAGTTATCTAAGGTAAGGTATTAATATCATCATTCTCTCTTTTGAAATGTGAATAATACTGTACCTGGCAGCCACAATAAATTTTGTCCTAGTCTTAGAAGGTTCGGATAAAGCTCTTTTCAGGCAATCTGCTCATTTAACAGTTACTTTTCCTCTTTTAAATAAATATTCTTTGGAATTATTGCTCGTTTTTCAGAGTAAGTATAAAATTTGCCCATTTCAAACAGCATCAACTCTGGCCAATCAGATTGTGGGAATGACTGGCCCAGCAACAAAGAAAAGGTCTCCAGAGTTTAATGAGCAGACAAAGCAGAAACTGCCCCCACTGGCATGTCTCTGGGCTGCCAAGACACTAAGTCCATAAAACATAGGGTGGTCTGATGGCAGCCCTGACTGGGTATAGTTGTGTAGTTCCGAGGCATTGACAGATCAATCCTTTGTTTTAGTAACAGTATATCAATTAGCAACAAACCCGGTCTCCACCTCTACAAAGCTTCAGATGGTGAGCTCTCCCTAGTTATGACTGAGGAAACAGATCAGATTTATGACAGGCTTCTCTCTCTTCAGCATGGTTTTTACAAAATTACTGTAAATCCCTGCAGCAAGGCTAAAGTGAAAAGTCTCTCCTCCAAAACAAATTCATAGCTTCAGAAAAAACAAAGAAAAAGAAAGAAAGAAAACCTCAAACTCTTCTGCAATGTGCAAGCCACAGGAATTTTCATCCCAAAGGGTTAGCAAAGTAATTTATGCAGGTAGTGACTGAAGACTGCTTTCAAGTATCCGTGTTTTGCAACATCTACTTCACGGTCCCTTTATTCCTTGTTCTTCAGCAATGTCCTTGAAAACACATGAAAAATGTCTCTCTCTTATTACCAAAGAGCCCAAGTCAGAGAGAAAAGCAGGCTGTGTTCCCAGGCAGTGCAGGGCTGCAAGGGGCCAGGGCTGGTTTCCATTCCTAAGAGTTATGAGATATTAGGGAAGTCCCTCTCCTCCTCTGGGCCTCAGTTCTCCTCTCCGTAAAATGACAAAACTGGATTTAACGACTCAGAGAATGACGTTTCCACTCTACTATTCCGTGATTCTGTTCCTCACCACCACACCTCTCCAAAAAAGTACCATGGGCCCGAAGAGATAAGGACAGGATGAGAAAGGAGTAACTGACTCTAGATTATTACTAAAAGCTTACCCCAAGGTGGGAGAAAAAAACAAGAAGCTGTCTGAACTGACTAAAGTCAGAAGCACCAGAATGAGGAGTCATGTTCTTAAAAAAGCTTAAGCAACAGAGCCTGAATGCTTGAAATATATCTTAATTGAAAATTTAGAGGCATGGGACAAAAGCTGGCTTAGATCAAACTTTTCTCTAAAGGAATAACTTCAGCTCTGGCAGACACACTGAGTCCTCTTGTGGTCACATTAACAGTTAACATTTTAGAAATATCAATTACTTTCTTAACGTCTTGGTTATTGGGAATCTTGACAAAAGCAATAGGTCACTGTTGACTTGGAATGGAAAATCCATTGGATTGAGATACAGACTGCAGTTGGAAACTTTAGTGAGTAGGAATTTGATTCAAATGAAGACATCATAATTCTTCTTTTTCTTTTTTAAAACCCTTCTTCCGCTCTTTGACTCCAGTTTCGTGCATATTTTAGATAAAAAATAATCTGATGTTCTGAAGTTTTTCTAAGAGTCCAGTTCTGCTTCAGTTTCCTAGATTTTTTTTTTTTGCTTTTTAAATCACTTTATATTGCAGTTTAATTTACCTATAATAAAACACACTTATTTAAAGTGTATGATGAGTTTTGAAAAATGCATAAGCCTAAGTAATAAACACCATGATCAAGATAGAGAAGATTTCAACATTTCAAATGATTCTCTTGTGCCCCCTGCACAGCCTCGTGCAGAGCTTCCCTCGAAGCTCAGCCTTGAGTATCCAGTGATTGGCCGTTTATTGCTAGAGTTTTTTTTTTTTTCTAGAACCCATATAAATGGAATCACATAGTATGTTGTCCTGGCTCATCTTCTTTTGCTCAGCATAATGTTTTTGACACTCATCTGCGTTATTTTATCAGCAGTTCATTTCTTTTTGTTGTTCCGTAATATCCCACTATATAAATACACCACAATGAGTTTATCCATTCACCCGTTGAGGGATATATGAGTTGTTTCCAGTTTTTCTCTATTATGAATAAAGTTTTTTTGTGGACATGTGTTTTCATTTTTCTTGGATAAATACCTAAGAGTAGAACTGGTAATATGGTCATATGGTAAGTCTATGTTTAACACTGTAAGAAACGGGTGCATTTTTTCCAAAGTAATTATACCATTTTCCATTTCTACAAGTGGTGTATGAGAGTTCCAGTTGTTCCATATTTTGGTTAAGACTTGGTATTTTCAGTCTTTTTACATTTAGTAATACTAGTGGGTATGCAGTACTGTCACTGTAGTTTTAATTTGCATTTCTCTAATTACTAACAATGTTGAGCATCTTTTCAGATGTTTGTTGACGATCCACGTATCTTCTTTTGTGAAGATCTGTTCAAATCTTTTACCTACTTGCTTATTGGGTTGTCTTACTCTTGGGTTGTAAGAGTTCTTTATATATTCTGAATATAAGTGTTTTGTCAGATGTATGTATTGTGAATATTTTCCCAATCTGTGCCTTGCTTTTTCATTGTCTTCACACTGTCTTTTGAAGAAAAGTTTTAAATTTTGATAAAGTCAATATTTTCAATTACTCTTTCATGACTGGAGCTTTTTGTAACCTGAGAAATCTCTGCCTATGCTGAGGTCATAAAGATTTTTTCCAATATTTTCTACGAGAAATTTCATGGTTTTACACTGCTCAAAGAAATCAGAGATGACACAAACAAATGGAAAAACACACCATGTTCACAAATAGGAAGACTCAGTATCAGTTAATTAGTCATACTGCCCAAAACAACTTACAGATTCAATGCTATTCCTATCAAACTACCAATGACATTATTCACATAACTAGAAAAAAACAATTTTAAAATTCATATGGAACAAAAAAGGAGCCTGGATGGCCAAGGCAATCCTAAACAAAACAACAAAGTTAGAAGGGTCACATTACCCAACTTCAAATTATACTACAGGGCTACAGTAACCAGAACAAATGGTGCTCATACAAAAACAGACACACAGACCAGCAGAACATAGTAGAGAGCCCAGAAATAAGGTCACACACCTACAACCATCTGATCTTCGACAAAGGGGACGAAAAAAAAGCAATGGGGAAAGGACTCCCCATTCAATAAAACATGCTGGGATAACTGGCAAGCCATATGCACAAGACTGAAACTGGACCTCTTTCTTATATATACAAAAATCAACTCAGATGGATTAAAGACTTAAATGTAAAACCCAAAACTATAAAAAACCCTGGAAGACAACTTAGGCAATACCATTCTGGACATAGGAATGGGCAAGGATTTCATGACGAAGATGCCAAAAGCAATCACAACAAAAGCAAAACCTGACATATGGGGCCTAATTAAACTTAAGAGCTTCTGCACAACAAAAGAAACAGGGTAAAGAGACAACCTACAGAATGAGAAAAAAAATTGGCAAATTATGCATCTGACAAAGGTCTGATATCCCAACATCTATAAGGAACTCAAACAACTTCACAAGAAAAAAGGAAACTCCCATTAAAAAGTCAGCAAAGGACACAAAGAGATATTATTCAAAAGACATACATGTGGTCAAGAAGCATATGAAAAAAGTTCCGTATTACTGATCGTCAGATAAGTGCAAATCAAAACCACAACGAGATACCATTTCACACCAGTTAAAATGGCTACTCTTAAAAAGTCAGAAAATAACAGATGCTGGCGAGGTTGCAGAGGAAAAGGAATGCTTATACACTGTTGGTGGGAGTAGTTCAACCATTGTGGAAAGCAGTGTGGCAATTCCTCAAAGAGCTAACAACAGAACTACCATTTGACCCAGAAATCCCATTACTTGGTATATACTCAGAGAAAAATAAACCATTCTACCATAAAGACACATGCATGTGAATGTTCACTGTGGCACTATTCACAATAGCAAAGACATGGAATCAACCTACATGCCCATCAATACAGACTGGATAAGGAAAATGTGAACAACTACACCAAGGAATACTATGCAGTCATAAAAAAGAACAAGATCATTTCTTTTGTGGGCACATGGATGGAGCTGGAAGCCATTATCCTTAGCAAACTAATAGTGGAACAAAAAAACAAATACCACATGTTCTCACTTACAAGTGGGAGCTAAATGATGAGAGCACATGGACACAAAGGCCATTATCCTTTCTTTGTGATAATGATTTTAATAAGGTTTAAATCTAGGTTTACCTAGGTTTAAACCTAGCAACTTGCCATTTGTTTTCTATTTGTCCTGTCCTTTGTTCCGTTTTTCTTCTTCCCTGCCTGTTTTGGATTGAGGGTTTTTTTAAATTCCATTTAATCTCTACTATAGGCTTCTTAGATATACCCGGGATTTTTTTTTTTTTTTTTTTTTTTTAGTGGCTTCTCTAAGGCAAGTGTCAATAAATATTTTCTATAAAGTGCCAAATAGTAAATATTTTAGAATCTGCAGGCCATAGGGTTTGTCACAACTACCCAACTTTGCCATTATAACACCAAATAGCCATAGACATGACTGAATGTGGCTAAATTACAATGAAACTTTTTTGCCAAAGCAGGCAGCCAATAAAATACTTTGTCAATGGTGGGGGAAAAAAGGCTCAAACTAGATTTGGTCTATAGGTTGTAGTTTGCCAATCCATATTCTAGGGTTTACAATATACATCTTGAAGGTATTACAGTCTATCTTCAGATAACATTTAATCATTCCAACTACTGTATAAGTATATGACAAGACCATATGGCTATTTCCCTGTTCCTGTCCTTCATGCTACCATTGTCATGTACTTTATTTCTGTAGAAGATATAGGCACTACAATACATTGTTATTATTTTTGCTTTAAATAATTACCTTTAAAGAAACTTTTAAATGAGGGGGAAAATGTCTGTGTATGTACCCACATATTTACCCTTTCTGGCACTCTTCATTCTTTCTGTGTAGATCCACTTTTCTACCTCGTGTCATTTTCCTCCAGCCCTGAGGAACTGTCTTTAACACTGATTGAGGTACAGGTCTATTAGTCATTAATTCTGAAACTCTGGCATGTCTGAAAAAGTTTTTATTTTGACTTAAACTCTGAAAGACATTTTACTGAGTGAGAATCCTAGGCTGACATTTTCCCCCAGTACTTTAAAGATGCCTCTCTATTGTCTTGGCTTGCACAGCTGTGGACAAATAGTCTGAGACTTTTTTCTCTGTTTTAAGGTTTTCTCCTTATCTTCAGTTTTTAACAATTTGATTACAATTATGATGTGCCTTGATGTGGCTTTCTTCATGTTTATTTTGCTCAGGGTTTGCTGAGCTTCTTGTGAGTTTAGTTTTTCATCACATTTGGAAAATCTGGAGCCGTTTCTTCAAATATTTTTTCTGTCTCTTCTCTCCTCTCCTTCTGAGACCCCAAATATACACGTTAGACCACTTGATATTCCCCCACAGGTCACAGAGGTGGTATTCATTTTCTTCTCAATCATTATTCTTCATGTTATTGCTATATGTTCAAATTCCCTGATATTTTTCCTTCTCTAGTGTCTAAGCTGAGGTTAAGCTAATCCAGAGAATTTTTCATTTTGGATATATTTTTCATCTCTTAAAGTTCAATTTTTTAAATATTGTCCCATCTTTCCTTACTATAATCATGTATCCCTTTAAGTCCATAAATATATGTATAATAGTAGTTTTTACAGTTTTGTGAAGTCCTTCTCTAATTCCATCACCTCTGTCATTTCAGGATCTGTTTCTACTGATGGAGTTTCCTCCTGGTTATGGGTTACATTCCTTCATATGTTCCGTGTCTGGATTTTGTTGTCTTCCTTTAAACAATGTTGAGTTGTCTTCTGGCAGGCAGTTCAGTTAGCATATCAGTTTCCTTTTCTTTTTTTCTGAAACAGAGTCTCACTCTGCCACCCAGGTTGGAGTGCAGTGGCACGATTTTGGCTCACTGCAACCTCTGCCTCCCAGGTTTAGGCAATTCTCCTGCCTCAGCCTCCCATGTAGCTGGGATTACAGGCACGCACCACCACACCCAGATAATTTTTGCATTTTTAGTAGAGATGGGGTTTCACCATGCTGGTCACGGCTGGTCTTGAACTCCTGACCTCAGGTGATCCACCCACCTCGGCCTCCCAAGGTGCTGGGATTACAGGCATGAGCCACCATGCCCGGCCTAGTTTGCTTCTTTTCAGACTTCTTTTCAAACATTGTAAGCAAGGGTTTCAGGTAGTCTCTGTACTCTAGAGTAGCGATTGGCAAACTTTTTCTGTAAAAGGCCAGATAGTAAATATTTAAATATCTTAGGTTTTGTGGACCTAAACTACTCAAACTGAACTATGTAAACAGATGAGCGTGCCCATGTTACAATAAAACTTTATTTATAAAAATAGGTGGCAGGCTAGATGGGCTAGGAGTTGGCCCATTGGCCACAGTTTGCCAGCCCCTGCTCTAGAACCAGTTTAGCACCACTACTAATGGCCCTGTGGGGTCTCTACTGACAGTCCAGGGTGTTCAATGAGGTCTTTCCACCCTAATTAGTCAGAATTTGAACGCCTTCTAGTCCTTTGTAAGCCCTGGTTATTATTCATTTTACAGCTCCCTGATCTTTCTCTTTTCCCTAGTAGTGGTCTTTCCTGGCCTCATGGACTCATAACTCCGTGTAGGTGTAGCTTAGCCCTCAGCCAAAACTGAAGAGGACTCTAAGGCATATTTATGAAGCTCTTTCTCTAAACAGCTCCCTCCCTTCCCATATTCTGCCTCCCCAAACTCTCGTCTCTGTCTCCTTAACTCAATAAGACCACCATGCTCCACTTGGTTCCCTGTCCTTTTGCTGTGCTGTAGTGTGAAAAACGTCTCCAGGCAGAAATCTGAGGTGATCATAGCATGGTGATGAAAGAAATGGGGCTAAGCATCTCCATTCCCAGCTGAACGAAAACTCCAGTGGCAGAAGAGGCACAGCCAGATTATCCCAGAACCAACATACCTGCAAGGCTCCCGCCTGCCATTCCTTGACAGAGTCCATCAAATACAGGAAAGTATGGCACATATCTGCCACCTGTTCATTTTGGTGCACTTCTTTTGCAATGATGCCTTAAATGCCAATGTGCTGTGGGGGTTTTGCAAAAGCTAACTTGTTTCCCACAAGTCTAACTGTCCCATCGGGCAATCAGGATCTCATATTAACTTCCTAGGTTGAAAGGACCTAGGAAGGCCCACAACCAATTCCACTCTCCCAATACCCAGCAGATTTCGTTTCCAATGAAAAGGCAAAAGATTCATGATAAAAGGATAATCCACAAGAAAAATCACCTTGCTCAACTGTAAAAAGCAGTTCACTGAAGTCATGAAGATGAAAACAGAGAGGCTATTTAAAAACCTCTCTTTACAAAAACATAATTTTAGGAGCAACTCACTTTACAGCTAGCATAACTAAGACTGGGAAAAAGGATATATCTTATCTTCCTACATGGGTATTTGGTCCAAAGACCCAGCATTCCTGTAACGTGGATTCATTTTTCTCTTCCTGGCAGCATTTCCAGGTGTGGAAGGACTAAAATAACACAGGCCACTATTTTTTATTTTAACATTCTCCTTTAACTAAAACTACTGATGTCTTCTTCCTGCAACAGGATTTTGGTGGAACACCTGCTTCTCTGCATTTTCTAGCTTATTTCATTTTATGCCAGATACATGACATTATCCAGACACTTGTTTCGTTATTTAAAATGGAATTGTAGTATGCCAGAGTTTCTCCCACAAGTCAGCAAAAAAAAAAAAAAAAAAAAAGGAAGAGAGAAAATTAATAGCTTTGCTCAAGGGATGTTAAATAGCAGAGTACCTCACTGCTATGAAGGTTTTATTACTTTTTACTTTTTTTAACTTAACATTGGCACTAAGTATTAAAAGCTCTACTCACTTGACTCTAATCACCAACAGGATTGGTCTATTTCTGGAGATCCAAGACCCTGTTAGGTAAAGCTTTTCACATTAGGAGCTTACACTCCCATCTGTAACATGTTACTAAAAAGGGGAGTAACAACGAGAGAATTTCAAACTAGTCTCTGCCCAGAGATTGACAGCAGCATCATCAGCGTTAAAAGAACTCCTGAGAGGTTCTGGTGCAACAGCTGGCATAAAAGAGCAACAACATTCCCTAAAAATGTTACCGTTTTGTTACCGTTCCCCCCAACCTCCACCTCCCATTTTCCATTTTCCAAATCAACATTTCCCCAAAGTAAAAGGGACTTACCCTACTATTACTATAACAAAATCCAGTAAATTCCATCCATTCCTAACATAAGCATTAGGATGTAGCAATAATCCATACGCTATAATCTTCAAAAATGTCTCGACTGTAAAAATAATCAGGAAGGCATATTCTACTTTTTCCTGTGAAGAAAAACAAAGAAACATACCAGAAAAGTAGGGGCAGGGGAGGAAGAGGAGACAGAAAAAGGAAGAGAGATTAGAATCAACATCTTAGACATATAAGCATTTTATTATGAGAAATGGAACAATTATACTGCCCCTGGGCCAGGAAGGCATTTACATTCTAACACTGAATTTCTCATAAGCAACTACGTGTGCAACACTTTTCGTTCCAGGCTGCATGACTGCATTTTGCCACCTGCCCCAATGCGTGTGTGATGAGTCTGCTTAGGACATAACAGGCATGTTTGTTATTTGCACACATTTGCAAAACGCAGCATGCTCTCCTCCTGAGGTTGCCAAATCAGGCCCAGAAAAGCACAAGGGCACAACAAAGATTCCAATGGTGGCTTTGAACAGAAGAAATTCATCCTCCGGAAGAAATGAAGATGCATCTGTTTTGACCCTCTCTTCTTCTTGGGTTTATGTCTGAGTTCGAAGTCAGAGTCAGCTTTGTCACTGAGTAGCAAGGTGACCCTGAGCAAGTCCTTCCCCTCCTCTGGGCATAAGTTTCTGCATCCGCACAATAAGGGAAGTGAATTCAGGATGGCAAACACCCTGCCTGCTTGTTGGCATGCCGCCTCTCCTGGCTGAACTTGTGACAGGTCACCATGCCCTTTCCCAGGAAACCTAGGCAGAGCCTCTGACCTTTTCTCTTGTATCCGCCCCAGCAGCCATGCCCATCTGACTGCCACAGACCTCACAGGTGCCGCTCATGGGCTAAATGACTCTTAGAACCTTTCCAGTTCCAACCCATGCAACTCCATGAGCTGTGGAAAATATATCAATCAGCAAGTCTAAAAACTTTGACTCTTTCCTCTTTTATAAATGTTTTCTTTATGCAGCTTCAGTTTCAATAGAAACATGGACCGACAGAGATGTGGGCAATTAACTTTACAAGAAGCATTCCCCGTATGAAGCTATTTAAATAACAAAGTATCATCAGCAACTGTAACTTTTCAATATGAACTACAGAGTCCTACACTACTATGAGTGGGACCTGAAAAGTTACCAATACCTTAGAGAAACGGAGGTCATGAAATTCACTCATTAAAATGCCTAGTGCAAGAGGTCAAAATAAATTAGGCTCAGGAAACACTTACATGAATACCACTTCTAAATGACAGGCACCGTACCAGGAGCCAGAAAAATGTCCCCACCATGGTACCTGTCATTTATTCTGTTGGTGTGGGGGAAGGTGTGAGGAGGGGGAAGTTTTGAATGTAGACACAGAGAATTTCTCAAGAGTCACAAAAGTAGTAACTGACGAGAGAGATTCTAGATCTTCAGCCCTCCGATCAGGCCAACCCCTCCTTTTCACAACTGATTCCGGGGGGGAAAAAAGCACTTTGCTGTGTTATATGTTATCACTATTACAGACTTACTTTTATGCAATAGGCAAATGTGTATTTTTAAAGAAATTTTACGTTTCTGAAGAGAACACTTTTTATTCAGAAACATTTTTAAAAACATGAAATTTAGGATGATTCCCATAAGCCTGACCCTTTGAGGAACTGTCACCTGTTAAATGTTTGCTTGCAGTATCCCCAGCACCCTTGTGCATTTAAATGGGAGCCTCGCCTGTGTCGCCCCTGGGCTCTGGCTGTCTGCTGCCAGAATGGCTGCCCCTCTGTCACCGGCCGTGCCAGGCAGAACTTCCCTTTGTCGTGCCACAGGTATCCTCCCTCTTGACCACCAGGGGGACCATGCAGCCATGGCCATGCATCCCAGCCTTTGCCCCCATTCTCCACTCTTCACTGGTCATATAACAGGGCTTCCTCTCAAGGACAGGGCTGTTGTGATTCCTGTCATTTCTAAACACTTGCCCTCCAGAGCTCCCTTTGCTCCTCAGAACACCATTACAACAGTCTAGTGAACGAATTGTGTGTGTGTGTGTGTGTGTTTTGAGAGTTAGCCAGCATCAGTGTGTTTATAATTTAATTTAGAAAGCCTAGCTCATCTCCAACCTCTATACTCATGCCCCCTCTAGACCTTCAGACCAGTCCTGTTCTCAGCCAGGCTCATTCCATGCCCCCGTGCCTTCTTCCCCCATGCCCTTCATACAGCTACATGAGATGCTACGCTCAGAGCTACAAGGATGCTCTTCCTTGCTTACTGTCCAGATTCCCCATTGCCCCGTTCCCTGCCATATCCCCCAAGGGAGTGCTCGCTCGGGAGGCATGCGAGGCGTGGCTGTTGGAGGAATGATCGCACACTCATGCCACTGGTATTCTAAGCAGGCACCAGCGTTGCCACTGGATAGAGGGAAAGATACAGGAAGGCCTCAATGAAGCCATAACATTAACTCTGAAAGCTCAAAGAAAAAGGAACTCTGTTACTTTAACCAGAGGCAAAAATCCCTGAAAATGCCAACCCACTGTGCTCACATCAGACCCTGACCACCAAATGCAGACTGTCAATATGTTTGAGACTTAAGAGTTCTAAGGGAACCAGAGAAGCTAAAAACAGCACACTGATGTTACAATTCATCCCTTTTTATCCTTGCTGCTTTATTTACTAGGCCAGACAGGAAAAAAAAAGCTTTTGCTGCCATCAATATTCATAGCAGTCACATCCCTACGTCAAGACAGCACACTATACTTCAGAGCAGAAAAACAAAGCAGAGAACAGACAGTACACCTCCCAAACAGAGCTGGTTTTACCTCTTTGACTTTTATTTAGAAGTAATTTTGCCACAATAACACAAGGGCCATTAGTATAAATGAATCGTTAAACGTTCTTTTTCCTTCTCCTTTGCCCTCTCCCTACTTTTTAAATAATTTGGTTTCTCTTTCCAAAATCCTTAGTGAATTATTTGATGGGATTCTTTATAAGAAATACAAACTTCCTTTAATACAATTCTTTATTACAGAGATTCTACCATGATGCCAACTGAACAATCGCAGCCTGGAGAGCAGGCAGACCAGTTTATCTAGAAGCCAGTGTCATCCTGGTCCTCAATCCTGCCACTAAAAAGGAATCCTATGAAACAGGTATACCTCCACATTCAACAAACGAAGTATTATTTTTAAATATTGCAAAACGTCGTTCAGGAGAAGTGGGATAATTACTTGCTTTACAAGAGGATTGTTCATTTGAGAAAAGAAAGTTGAATTAACAATTTGAAGAGGAAGCCAGCAAGAAAGACAGGTTCCTAACCAGGCAAGGCAGGACTGTGGGCCCAGCCAAAGCAGCTGGGTGAGAGGTAACACACAGAAGACACTGAGGTCTGTGGCCACGATGGATGGAAGCACAGAGGAAGAAAGACTGGGATGGCGGAAGAAGGGGCCAGCAGGAGCCCTCTAGAACCAGACATGAAATGAGGCATCCCTGGTATAAAAGGCCTGAGCAGGAGCTGTACCTTAACAGCCCTTCCCCAGGTAAACGAAAAGAGTAAATGATTCCTGCATCTCATCCCCTCTGTGTGCCAGGCAGAGTCACGCCTGTGGCACTCAGTCACCCACCAGCAGAGATTTCTTTTCCCTGGCAGGAGATCCTGAGTGGGCAGGACCAGTCAAACCTTCCTTTAGAAAACAATGTCCAGAAACTACCCTATACATGGACAGAAGTCCCCCCCACCCCCACCAACCCCAGCCAAAACTCAAGCCACTAGAGAAACAAAGGCTCGATTCTAATTCTAAAACCTGATGTATCTTCTTCAAACAGTGAAATTTCACCAACAGGACAGGCTCTAAACCAATAGTCTCTAAACTAGTTAATAATCTCCAAACCAGTTAATGCTATACAGAATCTTGAGAAACAGAAACTTAACTAGCAAGAGGTGGGAGATGCCAGAATCCTTCATTAGACTTGGTACTCTCCTATTTCAAGAATCCTCTTATTAGCGCTGTGGTATGAATGCTTGTCTATCAGTCTATCTGTCCATCCCTGAGCACCTGCATCCTCCTCAGCAAAGCTAGAACCCTGTCCTCACAGAGCTCCCAAGCTGCTGTCAAAAGGTGAACGGAGGCTTGATGCAGCCAGGTAAGAGTCACTTCTCAGTTTTGCTCTTCCGCCCACGTGGCCCAAGGCTTTGGGAAGGCTTTCTGGCTTACACTCTACCAGAAGTCCCCGTCTCCCACTGACACCTTCCGTCCCTTCTGTGCCCTGCAGTCCTGGATTCTCTATTGAAAGGGGCCCTCTCTGTCTTTAACTGTAGCATCAGACATATGTAAGGTACTCATAAGTGCTACTAGAAAGCAGACAAGAAAAAAAATGGAAGGAATAAAGCTACAGATCTAGACATGTAGGGGCTATTACAGCATGAGGTTTTATGATCCTAGCATATGTATTAAAAAAACACACACAGGATACGTATGATACTAAGTTACCATACACCCTTTTTAGAACAAGCCTGAGATTCAAACTGCTGAGACAACAGCTGATCTCAACATCTCACCTGGCCTCCCCTGCTATCCCAACCTGCAGCTCCTTGGTTAAGGACCTCACCCTTTCATCCTTGCCTAGATTCCTCTTCCTCTTCCAACTTTCCCACCTCTCCTCTGTCAGAGTGCTTCACTCCAAGTCGTGGGCCAACCTGCTCCCTCCCACACATGCCAGCCGCCTTCCCACCTCCACGTCTTTGCCCTCCCTGCTTTACCCACCGAGAGTGCCTGCCCCTTGGACATGAACTTCCCTCTTTAGATGAATGAGCATAGAGCTCTGTGATACAGGGCCAAAAACACACCCAGTGGGGTTGAATGCAAGGAACACAGGGCCTGGAGCCATATATCTGATTTCTGCTAGTCCTGGCTCAGCCACTGATTCATGCTGTGGCCCTGGGCCACGGTGGAACCATTCCACATCCTGTTCCCTTCTTTCTGAAAAAGTCTCCCCATCCCTCTTTCTCATTAGACTAGGCTCTGCTTGCCCTTCAAGGCTCAGCTTAAATGACATTTCCTCAGCAAAACCTTTACTGACCTCCCAGACAAAATTAGAGCCTGCTGTTACATGCTGTCAAA